CCATACACCTTGATCTATTCAGTTTTCCTCATTAATTTTCTAAAGATCCCTCATGTTGCCAACTTATCAGCTGCCAAACTGCCCCTGGGATCTGAGGGAAACAGGGCAAATCAAACTCCTTCTCTTACACAGATTTATTAGAGCACTTACTGAAGCTGAGGTGGAGAGAGGAAAGTGCTGGTTTATTGGTATAACCAAAAAAAAAAGAGTTGCTCCTTGCCCAGAAATTGCTTAAGGAACACAAAGCCAATGCTGACTGATTCCCTCTCCCTCTCTGAAATTTGATTTCTTTGGACATAAAAGACTCCATGTTATTTTACTTTCAGACTATACAAAATCTGCAAGTATCAAGAATATCACCATGAAGCTTAAAACATTCTCTCATCTCTTCCGTCCGAGAAAGACCTGCTGACAGCAATGGTATCAGTCTCATAGCAGATTTCAAAGACTTAGAATGCTTTTACATCAGTGCTTGGACTATTGCTGAGAGGGAATAAAGCCTTGGATATCAAAAAAAAATTGCAATTTCTTCAAATACAAATAAGGAGTTCAGCTACAAAAAGAGGGCAGAGGACTGAAAGAAGAGGTTAATTTTATAGAGTTCATTTTATAGGGCCAGCAGGCAAGCAGCAGGGAAGGCTTTAAAGAAATAACAGGACAATAAAAAATTAAATTAATTGGGTGTAGGGGGGCAGATTTCAGTATACAGTCAAAGCACATCTGTCCACTGACTTAAGGTTACATTCTGGCACGTCTCTCCTGAAGACATAAAACCCAGAGGATGCTTGCAGCTCTAAAGCAAAGCCTCAGAATGCTGCTGTACTTTTTTTTCTCTGCTCCTGGGCTACCTCTGAGGTCAAAAGAACTCCCAGCATAAATTCCTGCAGTCCTTGAGACCCCTTCACCCCAAGCCCAGGGCTGCCCCTGCCCTGCAAAGAGGCCAGCAGCTCCAGAGGGCTCAGCAGCTGCTCCCCAGGGCTGGAGGATTTGGAGCCCGATGGAAGGGTTACATGCAAACACCTAAATTGGCTTAACTATTTATAGAAAGCAGACTTTTGGCACGCTGGATCCCTGGCAAAATGCTGTGGCCATAAGCAGGCAGGGTGGCTGTTCTTCACCAGCACAGCACCACAGGCCTTGCCTTGGCCAAACACAGGTCTGGAGCTGCTGGGACAGGGCAGGACCCTCCCTCCCTTCTGCATTTATCCAGTGCCTCACCCACAGGAATCCTGGGGGGTGCCCAGGTCTCTTAAGCATCACTGAAAGAAATGGTTTTGTCTCCTCTAATTCCAGGAGCAGCCCCTGAAGCAGAGCTTCTAAAAGAAGTGCACAGCTTTCCCGAGTGACCTGACCAAGCTGTTTTGTGTGTTGGTGGCTCTCCCGGGGCTCAGCTGCTGCACCAAGGGCAAAAGAAGTCCCTGATTCCTGCATATCCCCCTGGCAGCTCCCATTTCCCTCAGCAGATCGGGACAGCTCTGGGGCACGAATATAACATGACACACACAGCTCCCAGCAGCTGCCCTGCCTGCAGTGCCTCCCTGGCTCTGAACAGGGGCAGATCCCCAGCACAGGAGCAAAACCAGCACAGCACAGACAGAGCAGCACCACTCAGAGCCCAGATTAAAGCTGCACCTCTGCACGGTGCTGGCTTTGGCTCATCTCTACAGCTGCAAGTACCCCCAGACAAGGCAACGTTAAATTAAATTAAACATTAAATAATGCTAATACACACCCTCTTCCTAGCAGGCTTCCCAATGAAGCAATTCCTAGGCAATAATATTTAGTCTATGAACGAGAAGAGCTCATGGTGTGGAAACACAGTGGAACGTTGTCCCTTAGCACGGAAAACAAAGGAAACATTTTTGTTCTGCGTTACTGAACCACACACAGAACCACAGAGGTTGGAAAAGACCTCTAAGATCATCGAGTCCACCCTCAATCAATCAAAGTCCTTGATCAACCACAGCCCAGAGCACTGAGTGCCACATCCAGTGGTTCCTTGGACACCTCCAGGGATGGGGACTCCACCACAGCCCTTTCCAGTGCCTGACAACCCTTTCCATGAAGAAATCCCTCCTGAAATTTTAACTGAGCGCTCCTCAGACAACCTTGCAAAGAATGCCAACGTGCCCAAGAAGCAACAATGCTGAAAGCTGTACAAGTTGTTGTGGAAAAAAAGCACCCACCGACCATCCCTTTGCTCACTTACCCTCATCCAAAATCCACAGTGCAACTGAGGAACAGCATCCGAAGAGAGAAAGGCAATTCCTCGTATAATTAAATAATCTTTATTTTATAAAACATAATACAAAGCATCTACACCATTCACTGGTGGAACGTTAGTTGCTATTACACAGTAATTCAAACACAAGTTATTATTTCACACTAGCTCTGCAGTTTCCTTTCACAGTTTGCTCTAGCCACCATGGAGCAGCCTGAGGACAGGTCCCACCCTGTGCTCCACAGCTTGGAGTTGTGTTTCTGGGTGTGTGAGTCCATGCTGGACACACTGTGAGGCCTTGCTCTGAGATGCTGTTGCAGCTCCACCTCATAAAGCTGTCCCTAATTGCCCTTTTGTTTCCTGGTGCCTTTGTTTAACCTCTAAAGCCACTGATGGATGTTCTCCTTCCAACCAAGTTCAAAGGAGGGGACCACTGAGCCCCTGTAATTCAAAACATCCCCACACAAGGTGTTCCACAGGTACCTGCAGTCAGTGACACCCTCACTCACCTGGGCAGGTTGGGATGTCCAGGTAACCACACCCCAAACCTCAGAGCCCAGACCACCAGGGCTGCCCAGGAAGCTCTTCTTGCTGGGCAAGTCCACAGCTGCACTGTGGCTGTTCTCACCTGCCTTCCTTCAGGCCTTGCTGCTGAAAGCCCCTTTCCCTAGTCAGGCTGGCTGCTGAACCTCCTCTGGCTCTGGATTTACTGCAGTCCTAACCAGGGAAAACCCACCAGACATCCTTCCTTCAGCCTGGGGGGTCCATGTGAACCAGAAGCAGCACATCCTTAGTCCCTTTGGCTCCTACCTTTGCAAAACACCTCGGACTCCTGCTCCTGGGAGGCAAGCAGATGCTGGGAAGTGCCATGTTCAGGTGACAGAAGTGCTGCTGACGGCTCATAGTGAGAAGTGCTTGGCTCAAAGCAACAGCATTTTGCTTTTACGCAGCACAAACCACCCAACATCCATCAGAGGTGGCTTGGTGTCCAATGGAACCCCCCCACGAGGTAGGTAATGCTGTCCCCACTCCAGAAAGTGGGTAAGCTGAGGCAAAAAGGCTCCTTGACGTGCTCAGGAGAGCTGGGAAAGAACCAGCAAGCCCCAACTAGCCCTTCTTGTCTCCCTTCAAGGCTCAGTAGTGCTGGATGAGTCAAGTTTCCTTTGCAGGACCAGCTCACCACTTGGCTCTGCTCATCTGAAGGGCTTTTTTTGGGCTCTTCAGGTCTTTGGCTGCTGCAGGGGAGGCTCAGGCCCTGAGCTGCTCTGGAGTGCTGAAGCTCAAATGAAATGATCCTAATAATGACAGCAACAACAAAGGAACAGCTGAAGAAGATGCAGTGGAACAAACACCAGAAGCTGCCAACTGGGGACAATGTTTTCCTGCAAATGGGACCAGATAAGTAATGATTATTTTTCTCTCAGTCAGGTTCACTTTTTATTTTTTTGATTAAAAAAGGTCACACTCTGTGCCTCTCTGCTTCTTTAATTACTAAGCTGCAAAATAAGTCTCTCTGACCCTATAAATGCTCATTTTATAAAGTGACACAGATCCAACGAGGGAGACAAAGTGAATTCAAAGCCCAGAGGTCAAGGCACCAATTCAGATGAAGGAGAGCCAAGATCAGGTCTCTGGCTTGCACAGGACAAATTCAGAGCTGGGCAGCAATTCCACCTCAGCCACTGGGTTTTTGGAGATGCATGTTGGCCACTCTTCAACCAGAAATCCCAGTTTGGATTTGGGTCAATAAGCCCAGCAGAGGGAATTTTGGTGTTCTGCAGACAATCAGCCAGAAAACCCCTTACTGGCAAGTCCTGATGGGGCTTCTCACAACAGAGAGTCACTCAAGGAGCTAAAAGGAGTGTTTGTAGGGGATGGCTGGAGTTTTAACAGTCAGGGATGAAGAGGGAAAAAGTCATAAAAGCATTTCCCACCAGGGGCTGTGTCTTTGGGTGTATTCACAGAGCACCTAGTCCTGTAAGGCTCCAGTGCTGATTAGAGCTTCTGGACACTACAGAAAAATAAGTTATCAATATGTTAATAAATAAGTTATTAAAAGGAATTAGAAAGGGTAGGAAACAACAACCTACCTAAAATACTGATTTTTCTAGAGTCACACTCTAGCTCAACCACCAAAGCTGTTTCTCCCAAAGGGAACATCAGGATAATGAACAAAGTGCAGATAACAACCATCACTCTGCATTGATGTAGCACCTCTCAAGGAAAAGTCTGAAAGTGCATGACACAGATGGATCAGCTCCATCACCCCCAAGTCACAGATGGGGAATTAGGCACAGAGTTAGAGTTATGTGACTTGCCCAAGGTCACACAACCAGTTGGTGGAAGAGCCAGGAGTTTGATGCAACACTAGAACATGCTTCTTCCTACCAGCAGGAACACTCTTAGCTGCCTGCACTGTACAGGACACTGAACATGAAGACCCAGTGTTATCTCCTCCTCTCTTCTCCAAGGTTCTACCGGTGCTGAAGGTTTTCTACTCACACCACTATTTACACCTGCACTGCTGGACTAGTATATAAAATTAGCCCTTCCTTCCCTCGTGCCATCCAGCGTGTGCTCCCCCAGCCCCTGCCAGGCCAAACACTGCAGCCCCAACAAATCCATGGCACAGCTCCACGGATGCCAGTGGAGCCGCGCCAGGGATAAACTTGGCTCCAGGACCCCTAACGTGAGCTGGTTCCTCTCCCCATTCCAGGCACGATCCCCCCCTCCCTGCCAGGCAGCGTGAACTCGAGGAAGTCTCTCCTCAGCACCCCCCTCAGTGGGTTTTCAGGTGCCCGTTGGTTTTCAGGCCGCCCCGGCGGCTCCTCCACGCCTGGTACTTCCTCATGCTCTTCCTCCTGGCGAAGCGGCAGATGCTGAGCATGAACACCCAGGACACGGCGTACATGATGACCCCCCCCAGCTTGATGTACCAGCGGGGCCGGGGCGAGGCCAGCTCGCAGTACATCAGCCAGGCCCCCATCCCGATCCGCACGCCGGTGAACAGGACCACGAAGAGGAAATCCACCACGTCGCCCGTGAGGGTGTGGTAGGAGCCCGTCTCCTTGAGGAACCAGCGGGCCTGCAGCAGGGGGTTGGTGATCTCGCTGCCGAAGATCACGGCGTTGACGTCCGCCGCCGACTCGCCCAGGGCCAGCGAGGCTGCGATGCCCACGATGCTCACTAGGTGGTGGGCCAGCATCAGGGCACCCTCCGTCTGGAAGTACACGCACCAGCACAGGTCGAAGAGGAAGTAGCCCAAGCTAAGGCACAGCCCGTGCACCTGGAGGGTCGTGTTGGGTGATCCTGAAAGGTGGAGACATAAAGAACTTTAGGGCAGCGAGCAGGAGCTGAGACAAGGAAGGGGTGTCGGCTTGTGCTGGTCACAGCCCGGCCAGAGAAGTCCCCCCCAAGTCACAATGGCACGGGTGTCAATGGCACGGTTGTCAGTCTGGCAGCTGCACACACGTCATGGCCACACGGCGTGACCAAACTGCAGCTGGGACACGAGGAAATGCAGTGCCAGGCTCCCCATTTCTCTAGAGCTTCCCCTCACAGAGCAGCTCAGAGACCACTGCAGTCACCACTCCTCGAGCGGGCAGAGGTGGTGGCAGAGCCCCTCAGTGCCACCACCCACGCAGGGACCCGGGACCACAGCTGGCATCACTCACCTGGGTGACTCAAAGGCCAGGGCCCATCGATAAAGCCAATGTAAGCAGAGAGACAGGTGGCCAGGATGCCATGGGTCAGGGTGACCAGCCTGCAGCTCCACTCGCAATTCCGGTGCCTGTAGCGGTGGCAGAACCACTTGTAGAGGGAGAACCAGCCCAGCAGACTGCAGGCCACCCTCAGGGGCAGGGGGAACAGCATCCTGCCAGGGGGACAGGGACACAGAACGGATCAGAACCACACAGGGGACCAGAAGGTCTGTAAGTATCAGGACAAGGTGAAAACCACTTTCCTCACTGCAGACTTCATTTCATCTTTAATGGCACCAAATCTTTTTGATGCAGAAGAATAAGAATCTATGCCCATAAAGATTATTTTTCCAGCGGTATTTCTTTTACAAGTCTTCCCTCACTCAACTGTGCAAGACAGAATCTCTCAAACGAGCAAAAAACACACTGCCAGAACAAAATTACAGTGCACAGACAACTGTGGGTGCTGCTCTTGGTGCTAAAAGCCCCCCAGTTATTTAATAATCAAATATCTACACCTCATTCATATTTATAACACCTTTCTGTGAAATACAAGATATGTCTCATCACTCCTGAGCACTCAGGGAAGTGCATCAGAAGCAGTTGAGTCATGCTTTGGGATACAGGAGTTTCCAGTTGTGCAACAGCAGAAGCACCAGTGGTACCTGCTGCCCAACTCTGGCCTCACACCCAAACTCACAGCAAAGAGACTTCACGTGATGAGGAGTCAGAGCTGCACAGCCCAGCCTTCCTGTTTGGCCTGTTGAGGTATTCCCAGGAATGACTGGAGGCTGGGTAAACAAAACCATTATGTTTTAATGGGCCTTGGGAACATGGGAGATGAAATAAGGATGTGATTAACTGCTCTGACCAGGAGTTTCCATGCACATCCCTGGGACGTGAGGTCCAGAGTCAGGACACATAGGGAAGGAAGAATTCTGACGTGACAAAAGGGACTGACCAGCTGGAGAAGGCTGGTAAAAGGAAGAGGAACAAGCTTTTAAACATTTTGAGGTGTTCTCCACACCTACTCACGAAAAAGATACTTCTCCATGCCCTGGAAGGAAAGAAGAGGCTGTCGTCCAACTGCACATCAAAGCTCAGCAGTTAATGGCTTTAAACTGACAGAGAGCAGGATTAGATGGGATATTTGGGAGAAATTCTTCCCTGGGAGGGTGGGCAGGCCCTGGCACAGGTTGCCCAGAGCAACTGTGGCTGCCCCATCCCTGGAAGTGTCCAAGGCCAGGTTGGACAGGGCTTGGAGCAACCTGGGCTAGTGGAAGGTGTCCCTGCCCATGGCAGGAATGAGATGATTTTTAAGATTCCTTCCAACCCAAACCATTCTGTTATTTGTCCTTAGCACATATAATACATA